TTACTTCAACGGAAGGTTTCCAGATGGATATGCGGAGCAAATCCATCTGGCGGAGTCAGGTTAGGGACCTTGAGCTCCAAATGAAATGCAGGACGGCCCACCGAGGACACTAGGGAACTTCTGATGGTTTCTTTGGTTCTGATCAAAATCCACTGCGTTCAGACCAGTTCTATAAATAGTTCGACCGCAGTGGATCTTGATGCACTGACTCCGGCCTTAGTCCTCTCTCTGAATGGATTTTCCTCTACAATCCTCTTAAGGCTCTTGTTGCTGATGCACCTTTTTCCTTCCGCTTAACTTTCTTTCTTCACAGCATATCTTTTTCACAACAGTTTTCTGAGGCTTATCATTTTAGGGTTTTCATAATACAGAACTATATATTCTGTGTGTGATTTATCTTTATGATGTAAGGCTGCAGCCAAAAGATCCCACTCAGTCCGGGTATTCTAATTTTCTGAGCAGCCTGTTGATGGATGGTAGATGATAACTGTGATGGAGCAGCGAGCGGGACAGGTTGTCTGAGTGAGGATGCACAGGAAGAAGCATCAGAGCCTTTCCAGAGAATGATCACTCCTGTGCTTTCTCTGCTTAATGTTTGAGTAGAACCAGAACAGTTCACTTCCAGAAACTTGGTCTTCTTTAGTCATTATAAATGTTTAAATGTGAAAAAAATAAGTGCATCACTTCTAAATAACTCTTTAAAGTCTTTACCGGGATGGATGAGTATAAAACTAGACCAAGAAACAGATTCTGATTGTTTTTAAATTCCAACCCAGCAGACTGAATCTTTGTTTGGTTTCAGATCACTTGGCTCAAATCATCTCGAAGTCTCACTTGGAGACGTGTCAGTACCTGAGGGAGGAGCTGCAGGAGATGAGCTGTTTCCTGCAGGAAGAGGTGGAAAAGTTTCAAAATAAGGTCTGTTTGCTCAATCGGTGCGTTCAAAAGTTTTCTACACAAAATTTAAAGTCAGATTGAATCAGGTTTATTTCAACCTGCGTTATACTCAATACGTCCCATCTTCTTTTAGATTCCTCCATGTGATTATAAAGTACGTTATGTAGCACGTGTTGGGTTGACATCAAGCTTCTACATGATTGTCTAATCTCAACTCAGGATAAACTGTCTTCTTTTGATTAAAAAAAGGCATGAAGACATCAACAGCATCCCTAAAGCCTTTTTAAACCCATTTAACACCTTTTCTGTCCTGTTTTCTGACCTCCTTTCTCACCTTATTTCTCACCTTCCTGTAATGTTCTGTTCAGCCTCAGGAGGCGATGTGGCAGCTCTGTGCAGTCAAGATCACAGACGCCATACAATATGTGGTGGAGTTTGCAAAGCGAATTGACGGCTTCATGAATCTCTGCCAGAATGACCAGATTGTTCTGCTGAAAGCTGGTGAGGAGCATCACTCAACCCAGTAGCTCCACATTACATGACCAACACGTCTGATGTTATAGACTCCATTTCTATCTAAAATAAACCCAAATTAGTCAAATCAATATAGAAACATCCCGCTCAAGCTTAAAGCAAGATGTAAAGAAAACTTTAGCAGAACCCAGTACCAGCCACATGCTGGGTGTTCTAAAACAGGAAGGAGTTACAGAAAAATCATGATAGCTAAGTGCAAAAAGCACTTTTAATGAAAGAAAACATATATGATAAATGACATCAGTACCATTTGGTCAGAGTCACCTTCTACGTATAAAGAGAAATCAACAAGCAAGTGGCATCAATAGTTAGCATGTAAGTGGAGAGTAGTAGGAAATGTAGCAGAGGAAGAAGGGGTCCCTATGTCCTCCAGCAGTCTAAGCCTATAGCAGCATATCCTTAGAGATAAAGGATAACCTGAGCCACTCTAACTAGAAGCTTTATCAAAAAGGAAAGTTTTAAGCCTAGCCTTAAAAGTAGACAG